TCCAGAGCGCTAGCAATTAAGCCACCGTGTCTCCCAAAATAAAAAAGACTTTGATCTTCTTAGGAGGAAGGTCGAGAGTAGTCGGTGATGTTCGCTATATTTTGGTCATCAAGAATAATAAAAATATCATACCTTCGTTTGTCATCTAACATGGACAGATACAGGTTTATAAGCTCAAGGTAACTGGTTGGGGTTGTGTAATATCGACGACGCAGTTCGGCGTAAAACCTGTCCGCCATAGAGCTAACACTGGTGTGAATTTCAACACACATTTCGGCAACTCTCTCCTACCATAGAAAATAAAGAAACAGTGTCAAAAGCAACTAAAAAGGTAGAGAAGTCCAAGAGCCAACAACTGGAAAGGCCTCAAGGGTCTCTAGGGATGGTTTGTCTTAACATCGCCAAAATGCTAAGCAAGGCCTTTTCTTGATGACAAAACAACAGTTTTGGCGAGCAGTTGACCTTAAAAAATTGAAGGTGAACAAAATGTAGGACGTTCTGACCTTAACATCTCCTGCTCCCAAGTCCACTTCTTCGAAAAAGTTCTTGGAGACAGACAATAAAGCTTCCCTGCCAAAACGAAAGGTGTTTCAACACGGTCAGCCAGAGATAACACAACACAAATCAGTCGTCTTTTCAATGGCTTTCAAAACAAATCCATAAAATTTCGGCGATTAGTGATGGCAATAGGACTAATTGGATTAAAATGCAGGGATTAATCTCCAGACTAAAGCATTTGTTATGGGTACAACTTAGTCTATAAGAAGGTGATATCTGCATTAGGGTTATTTTGGTGATAGATGCTTAATTATCCGAAAGTACGCTAGCCGGACTGAGAGCATGTCTATGGTTAAAATCCACGTTTGTTCTACACCTAGACTTTCATTCAACAAAACGAGCGATGTGATTGATTGATTCTTGGTCACGTGCCCCTAATCAAATTCAAGTGCATCCCGACCGGGATACAATTGCGCAGTTGTTACCCGCGCGCGGAATACAACAGCACGTTTTTCCATATGATTGTCTAAGGGAAAGTCTAAATGTATAACAAAGCACTTAATGTATGGTCCCTCGGGAAACTATTTCGTTTTGTTGCAGTGAACTGACCTTGGCCACTCGGTAAACCAGTCAATAGTACAACAATTAACCAGAGAAGGGAACATACGGCAGCGAGTACGGAATGCATCTCCCACAGGACTCATGCACAGTACCACATGAAGGTTATTCCGAACACGGCTGATGAAGTGATTGAACACGGCATCCCTGACATTGAAGAAAACGACAAGAAATTTAAAACCCTACATATCAATAAAACACAGCCATAGATATTAATGGCAAATTGTAGTGAGCTGTGAGGTTCAACATCAGAACCAATACTCACCTGTCGCCTTCAGGAACACCAGCGTCCTTCGCATGCGGTCGGGTTCCATTCAGCACTTGTTCATACTCTTCCGCTTCAAACAGGTTTGGAACCTGATGACAAACACAATGCAGACTGCTATTTTATCCACGTTGGTGCACTAACACATTTTGACAATTTCAAAAAACAAAATTCAGGGAAGCAAGGAGTACTTGATGGAACGGTCCAACTTTCAATTCATCAATTCCTTTTAATATTTTTGCCTAGCCCGTGGAACTTAGAAGCAAGCCCAAAAAAAACCCTTATCACAAATCTTCAGAAACATTCTTGAAAAGTCATTGGATAACGAAGGAAGAAAACAGTAGTCGTATAAACTAGTATTTATTCATAAAACATTATCAGTACCTCGCCAGAGTTCAAGATGTTATTGATGTCTTCCAGAAACTCCTCAACAACGATCTGCATATAATTTAAATTGAAATAAAGATTTAATAATATGACCCTCACTCTAGGGCACTTGCTATCGTTTAATGTTTCACTTTAAGAGTAATACCACAAGTCTTTTTACAGCACCAAAGTGATCGTCTTAAAAAAAAACCCTGGTGTTGAATGTCCCTCAAAAAAATGGCTTTGCACTATTAAAAAACTAGCGCCAATCTCTGAACAATCGAAAGCAAAACTTAAACCAATCGAGACTTGAGTACGCGTCCTTTCCTGTGGTTCAGGCATTTTCATTGTCTTTCGTTGGCTCCTTAACCCCTTAACTCCCAGATCAAATTTTTAATTCTCCTTACGGTCAACCATTACAATTCTTATAATGTTAGTACAGAGAATTTAGTATTGAATCAACCAATTATCCCCAAATTGATAATTTTCTTTATTCTCGTCACTTATCTGGTTGATATTGTATATATATTGTAAGGAGAAATTTGGTCTTGGTCACTCATGGGAGTTAAAAGGTTAAGAAATTTTCCAATTTTTTTAATTTATAACCGCACTTACTTAGTTACAGCTCTCCGAGTGGCACTCAAAATGTGCACACATTAATACCTGAGTATCAGTGAATAAGAAAACTGTGTTTTTTCCTTCCACTCCAGCTGACGTGTACAGTTTCTTAAGATCTTCCCGGAAGGAGGAGTAGTCGTAGCCACGAGTCAGCTCGATTTGAAAGCAAAGGTAGCCAGACATATGACATGCCAACCTAAAGTACAACGCCAGAAAATTAACTGTTTTTCAAATCTGTTCATCCAAATATTATGATTAGCCATCACGACCTAGATAAAACTTTTTTTGTGATGAATCGATCGCAACATTTTGACTATCAAAAATTCCCGCATTGTGAATTGTGGAGAAGTTTTAAGAGAATGATTACGAGGCAAGATACCTGGTAAGACTCTGTTTTCCTGTTCCTCCTACACCAACAAGCAGAGCATTCCCGCGAGGCTGGCGAACCATTCGGGCGATTCTACAAAAAACAAACAAACTCTCGCTCAGATAAACCCGTCGATTGCTAGGAAGGAGCTTTTAAAAAGCTTCACAGACAGTGTATGCACTAAAAACTGACCTTGACACGTGTTCTATGGCATCCATAAAGAACACAAGCTTCATTTCTTTGGAAGAGTTCATATTGTAGTCATCAAGATACTAAATAAAGAGACGATCAGATCAGTTTCCTCAAAAAACGGAAAGTCAGAGATTGTCTAAAAGAGCTAAGTCATATCTTGAGCCATTTCTATGACTACCCCTCAACTTAAAACAGACATCAAGGCATTACTTCGGTAAGATAGAGAAACACAAGATGTAACAATAAGCTGAGAAGACAGATGGATACTTAGGATGATGATTCAAAGAATGGCAAGAGACTCACTTCACAAATTTAGCATCAAGACGTTGTGGTTGCTGTTATTATACGTGCACGAGAAGTAAATCTTTAAGATTCACCTTTTTGACCACAATCATTGCTAAAGGTTACCAAGAACATCAAAGAAAGATATGGGTGAACTTACATCAGCCAGAAGATTTTTCACTTTTGAGATATCAGCCAGCTCTTCGTAGATTCGGTCAGAGGGGTCTGCACCCATCTTCATAAAGTCTCCAAACAGAATAGGGGCCGTCTCAAATTTTTCAGCTTGTACATTCTGGTTACAGCATAAAAAGACACAAAAACATTATGTTATTGAAAATTGAAAAGGCGTGTATTGTTTGCAGTTTATTATTTTTAAACTGCAGGACTGAAAACGATGGATTAATGTTTAAGGCGCTAGACTCTAAACCGTGAGGTCTTGGTTTTTAGTTCTGGCCGAGTAATTTTGATATGTCCTTAAGAAAGACACTTTATTCCCACAATGCCTATCTCCACCTGGGAGTTAAAATGAGACTATCAAACTGCTGGAGAGACCATGCGAATTGCTGGGGGTAGCCTTTTAATGGACCAACAGCCATCCATATGGTATGAAAATTGGGAATAGAACCGGCGTAGGTCGCTCAACTCCCGAGCAGAATTCACCTTACGCTTTCTCTTTACAGTTACGAGCTCCAAAACTGTAATTTGGTATAAAAAAGGATGATTTTTCTTATCATAGGTTGCTAAAACTGGTTGGCTGTAGACAACATATTGTTCATACTTAGAAATATACCTGCGAGAAGTGTTTCTGTGCCATTTCAGACATAATGGCGTTAAAATAACGTTTGTCTTCTTTGTTAATGAGACGATCGTGAAAGACTCTTTGTGCCTCGTGACAGAACAGGCGAAAAATCTGTCCAGCGTCTCGAATAACTCCAGGATCTGCCTGAAGTACACCTGAGAAGAAATGATAAAGGATAGATTAGCACAAAACGTATTATAAAAATCTTTGAAATGATTACCAAAGTCACTCAAGTTAAAATGTTCGGAATTGCTCATGTAACTGAAATGGTTGATTGATTTTTAATGTGTCAAAGCCATGTAACCGTATTATGACTGGCAGACCAACCTTGAATGCATTTGGATAAATCTCTCAAGTTGAACACATAGTGAGATTTAGCAGGAGTCGGCAACAGGTCTGTACTCATACGAACATAGATCTCAACACTAAAAAAGAGCAAACATGGACAAAATTAAGAAACAAAATATCATGCGACTGCAAGTAACGGCATCAACAGGCGGATCATCAGTCTTAGGGTTTTATTCTGTAACAGTCATGCTACAATATTTTGACAAACGTTTCCTAAGTTCAACAGTGACTTAAGTATAAATAAAACTTCGCGATAAAGGCTCGTTGAGTCGAAAAGAAACACCAAAAGGGAAGCTCAAAACCAACAAAGAATACGAGTTTTAAAGGATCGACACAAATAACAAACAATAAATTAACCCTTGTATTCCCAAGACCTCATAAGTGATTCTCCTCACTGTCTGCCATACAATTCTTATGATGTTAGCTCAGAGAATTTCGTATTGGATCAACTAAAAATCCCCTAATTGGCATTTTTTTCTTTCTTCTTCTCACTTGTCTGTTTGATATTATATGGATACTACGAAGAGAAATTCTGTCTTGGTCACTCGTGAGAGGTGAAGGATTAAGAACCGAAACACAGAAACTGGAGACTACTGTTCATGAATAACCTTTTTTTTTTAAAGGAAAACAAGAAAGTAAACAAAACTTATACCTCGCCCCAACAATCGCATCTGCACATCCCCTGACATCTTGAGGAAAGTCAACTAAAAAGCCGCTAACAATGGACTGAAAAAAGGAATGAAATGAATATTTGTCGATAATAATTTCAATAAAGGAAATTAATTTAGTCCAAAGATTTGAACTAATTTGATTTCCCTAACCTTGAAGATATGTTTCAGAGTGTGCTCGGCGGACGACGGAATACTGAACATACTGAAGTGACGTAGGAAACGAGGTGTGACTGGATTTCTACCCCCTCCAGGGGGAGCACAGGCTGCGCAGATGGTCATGTCCTGTCATAAAAATAATGGTTAAAATCTCCCACACCTGAATAAAAAAGTTAGGGACATAAGGTCTAGCGTAGCACAGACGTAGTGCACTTACATGAATTTCCTTCCAGAAAAGTTTCTCTCTGTCGTAAAATCCACGAAAATCCTTCAAAAGGAAATAAATTCACTTAATATACCAGTAGTCCTAAGTATTGATATATACCCCATTCACATTCCTAAACCGATGTTTGTCGACTTAAAATTTAGCACATTTGAAATTAAAAGTTAGTGAATACTTGAAACCAAAAGAAAATTCAGTTTTTCAATTCACTGTTTCTGATTTTCATTCGCTAAAACCTGGTGTACCTAAAAATGTTTTGCTGGTTTGAATGGGGTATATATGGATATGAAATCTTTTCTAATAAAAAAATATTCCACCCTTCTGAAAGAATTAGACTTTATCAAATAAATCCGAGGGTACCTGGTACTGCCTGAGTAACTCTATGGGAGGCTGGGCGCCATACGTGTCCAGCTTGGGCATGTTCAAGTCATCAACAAAAATGATCATTCTTTTTCCAGCCGGTGCACCTTTGAATATAAACAAAACCTTGTTTAAAAACCTCCTCATATGACTCTTTAAAGAAACAAGAGAATCGTGCAACTCACTGTGACTTCCGATCGCCGATCAAAAGTCAAAGGATTCTATGTTACTTTCTTCAAATCAAATCTTCTCTTACACACATCATAAAAGTCCGTGATGTTTATTCAGTAATCAGTTTCTTGAATCATAGGTTTCAAATGGTATAAAGTTTTATCACGTCTAATTACATCAGTGAATACAAACCTAAAATGTTTTTTCTTTTCTTTTCCAGTTTGACTTCAATCATTTCCTGAGTTCGTTGGCTGCTTGTCTGTGCAGAGAAGTTCATCATGATGGGAACATAGTTCGCCTTATCGCTTATGTCGGTCAGCAGTCCTTTCGCCACCACAGACTGTAAAATAATAAAAATTGAGTTCAGTTAGACGCCTTTTCTATTCGTCATCCTCTGTGATATTATGCGGTTGGTGTCAAACTTCTGTCTAACTAATTTTGTCATAAAAATTTTTTCGTCGTGTCAAATATTGTGAAAATGAAAACAAATCGTTCATGCGATAGCCCGTACCACCTGACCCAGGCTCCTTTGTCAAGGAAAGAGCGAATAATTGGCAACGGAACCAAAAAGGGAGCAAATTGTGGGAAGCTGAGGAGAAGTCTCTCCGCTTTGTTTGATTCCGGTTCCTAGATATCCTCGCTATCTCCAATCAAGGAACATGGATCCAGACGGCAATGTCAGATGGAACTCCACTATCTTACCTTGCCAACGCCTGTCGTACCAGTAAACATGACGGATCTATTTACAACAAGCAGCTTCTCCATCAGGAATCCATATCTGACCGTGTCCACAGTGGGCACTAGTAGATCAAAGTATGGAATCTCCGGGCTGTACTTGAATGATGGAATAATCTTCTCCCATGGTTCAAGACGGCGTGTGTCAAAATCCACAAAGTAACTGAACAGATCACCTGAACCGGGAAGCTGTGCAAAGGGAAAAAGACATGTTTAAAGCCATTGTGGGAAAACCATGGGAAGACTTGCAGAGAATTTCTGTTTTTTTGTTTTGTTGTCTACAGTCAAAATTGTTGTGTCATAAAATAGTGAGAATAAACGGTAACTGACAGCCCGAAAAAAAAGCAACAAAAATAACCTGAACAAGTTAAAGAGGCCTGGTTGCCAGTAATTGAATAACTTTCCACTAAATGATCGGTAGTGGAAATAAAGAGTTTACAACGTAAGGATAATAAAGCGCTCAATAATATTAGTTAAATAAACGTTGGGAAAAGAATAAATTGCTTCAAGATAACTAAATGAGAACTATTGGTAAAATGTTGCTCTAATTTGCGCTTGAGAGGGTTGACTGTAGTGGTTTTGGTTTGCGATCCAACAGCAATTCATTTGTTACCTTTATCATTTTCCCCTAACCTTCACATCCTGTGTATCTGAGAATAAATCCCTCGAAAACGTATCAAAAGCGTCCATAGAAGACTCTACTAAGTTGCCCCCAATACTCCACAGGAAAGAGAAGAGGAAGGCGGTGCAAATAAGGGAGTGCAACTTGTTGGCGTCCATGTTAAAATCTGGGCCTCCTTTCTCTGGGAAGAAAAAGCTCTCCAGAAGGCAGCACATAGTTGTCACTTTATTTATGTCCACCTGAAAAAAGAGAGGTATTCAGGGTTATAGTTGGGATACACCTATATCGTCCCGTCGCCTGTTACAAACTTTCCACAAATGTATGAAAGGACACGAGTCTCCTTACAAGACTTTAAATGTCTTCACTGGAAACTACAGAGCAATGGGAACTTTTCAAATTTCGTCCGGAACTTGTAACAATTTCCAATCATCCAGTGTTCCAATGTGGCCAATCTAACAGTGATATTTGAACCCAGTTTACCTGCTGCATGGCTTGTACACATTTCTTCCTTGCAAAGTTGAGTCCGTTATCCACGTAATTCTCAAACAAATTCATCAGATACTCCTGCAAACAAAAGTTGTAAGAAAAGGTGAGCATAAATCAGAGTTATGATCACGGTACTCTATTACGGCTGCACTTATAAGGCGTAATCACTCAATTTTGGCCGGAATAAAAGAAAATTCATGAAAAGTGTTTCGACCGGGGCCCCAAAGGTGCAAAAATGTTTTGTGTCCTCTTGTACTAGATACTGCCATTAAGACAGGGAATATGTTTCATATATATTTAATCAATTTTGTGAACCTTCCTTTCAGACTCAAGGTATCGTGCTTTTGAAGTGGGTTTATAAAAGCCGATTATCAGATAAGGTCTTATATCTGGTAACTCAGTACAACCCACTCAATACTGCCAGCATCTTCAGCCGATAGAGAATTGTAAGAAAAACGGTTGGAAATTTGAAAGACGTACAAGAGAGCAGCTGGAAACAAAACCCAGATTTGGTTAAGAATCGAATTTTGCAAGCTTCACTGCTTTAAAACCGATTGTCCAAATACAGACTTCTTACCTAAAAATTCTCGCGACAAATCCGTGCCATTTTTTTTTCTATAATTGTGGATTTGTCCGCCTGTGTTTGAACAGCAAACCGAATACGATATATTTCCTAACCTTCTGCGATTGATTTGACACCTATGGATGGCGAACTTACACGTACACACGGTAACAGGTAGATACCTTTGTTTCGTCTTTCATCTTTGTACACGTTCTTTGCATCCAGGACTTGACGTAAGGCCTCCAGCCCAATTCATAAGGGTCCATATACACCATACCACACCTGAAATAAACACACACACAAATACCGTGAAGGACTGTACACGAGGATGCTGGCCACCAAATACGTCAATTGAGCCTGTACTCAAAAGTTTAGATGACAAATCATTTCCAAATAGCATTTTAAAATCAAAACATTGTTGATCGGCGTAGGAGCCATACCTGCTGACTGTAGCTGGGGATGCAACAGCAAGATCCTGCACCTCAAACAACATGTGCATGGTGTTGTTGAGCTTTATTCTCTCACTGTTAGCCAAGCAAAGCATCTTGTTGTCATCCAAAACAGTGTTCATGTTTTCGATCCATAGAGCGTCCACAGGACCATCGCAGACAATCCACTTGTGATCCTCAGTAGTGTCCTGTGTTTTACCGGAGCAATAAAACAGTTGTTAGTTTAAGGAGAAGATTAAAATGATCAGCTCATTTCAATACATGCAGCTAACATTACCACCAGCCATGTCACAGGCCATGACATTGCACCGTACCTGAACACAAACTCTAACAGTGACGGCCATGAGTCCGTCTCTCCACTCCATCGTAAGCTTGTTAATTTCCCCATACAGTTCTCCCATGCTAACAGCCTGTAGGAACAAATAAGAGTAGCTGATAAATGTGCTAACAGAGCGCAGTAACTCGCTTGGAAGAAGCATTGGTAACAACGGCAAAAGACGACCATACCTTGGGATTCAGCACGTATGTGCGAACTTTTTGGTAATAAGGATTGTCGTCTCCTTCCTCGTGTAACGTTGTCAGAGTGTCTTTGAGAACCTAAATGTTATGAAAGCAATGATAAATGTGGCCTCCATCGAACATAAATTTTATAAAGAGCAGATTAGAAGTTTAATTCCGTACTAAGTCCACACACAGTTCATCTTATTCATTACGATTTGTCAGGGGTTACATTAAAAGCCAGTTACCGACGGTCTACCGCTGGCCATAAGACCTCTCACCGAAGTCTACAAGCAAACTGTCATGTTTGGGTTTCGCCTTACAGCCCCTTTTCTGGGCAAAGTCGCCTAGTACACCATCGCCAGCCGCTTATGAAAAAGTAATCGAAACCCCTGCGTATGTGATCATTGAATGACGTACTGTCTCCTCACCTCATAACTCGTTGTCTTTCCTCCTCCAGTGGGTCCTACAGTCATCACACCGTGCCGAACAATCATTGTCTCGTACAACTGGATCGTCTTTTTCACCATTGAAGGAACAACCTAGATGAATAAAAATAAGTTATATGTGGAATTCCATAACCACCACGATTGACAAGCTTTGATTTGTGAGATGAGCAGCGCGTGATGCAAAATGATGAAATAGATTTGGCATAGCGCTGTTATCATCTGTAACATATTTCAACGTTCTCTGGTGAAAAAGTCATCCCACACAAGCATCATTTATTTGACATCTTGGCTGGTCATTCTGTCATTATCACCATACTAATGAATCCTTACGAGGCCGAAACAGCTGTACATGGCTGTAACAATCCAGCTTTGACACTCTTTACGGTGGCCCATTTACGTTCTCAACTCAGTTGATAATACCAAATTACCCTGACGACAATAACTCACATTTCAAATCTTTTTAGTGCAAAAGACGTGGTGTCAGTGTCATGGACACTTTGGTGTAATTTCTGCCGCCTCAAAACACCACTACAACCATTTTAACAACCAAAAAGATACTTATTTCCATTCACGCACGAGTCAAACCATATTTTTACACTACTCCAACGAACATTAATTCATTCAGATTCCACTTCACTTTAGTCGTTAACTGTCAATAAAGAGGATGCCGTACCTGACAACCTTTCTTGAGCAAGCATTCCTCTATAGTGGCTTGTAGCTTGCCATAGTCGTGATCTGGAATTTCTTTACCGGGGAAAAGATCTGATAGGATGGCCTTGAGAAAAAAGAATAACGGAACCAATCAGTTTACCCTTTCACTCACAAGATCTGTTTGTTAAATCTCCCCCCCCCCTAGCTGCCACGCATTTCCTTTAACGTAGCCATGAGAACTTGGTGTTAGATCAAGATAACAACTGCTACCTGACGAGTTTGAGTATTCTCATCATTTCTTTACTGGATAATTTGTGGACATTATAGGGAGAAGTTACATGTTAATCACCTCTTAGAGTTATGGGGTTAAGAGCAACATTTAAACAGAACACAATTCGGATATATACGCGATCTTCGCAATACTGATTCGCAGAAATGACAATTCCTTAAAAATATATTACAACTGTGTCCTGAAGTACTTACTCTGAAGAGCTCGGCGTCCTGCTTGAGAAATTTGGGCAAGTTGCTGTCCCTAAGAGCTCTGATCAGCACGATATCTTCATTCAGATTAGGATTTCCTCTCTTCAGCGCTCCGGCCATGACAAGCACAGATTTGACAGCTCTCATACCAAAGTCATAATGATCTTGTTGAGAAAGCTGTTCACTGCACAGTCGGTACATCTGCACCATCTTACGAGCCAAGTTTTTAGAGGATTCAAAGCCTTCGGAATACAGAATCACTTCCGCAATCAAGGCTACAATGAGAGAAATAATTGTTTTGACTCTCCTATCAAAAATAGTTTAAAAGTTCATTAATAGACATATCTTGGGCTTCAAATTTTTACTTGAATTGAAAACTTTTAAACCGAAGAAACATTTGAACCATGACACCAACGACAAAGCCACAGAACATCTAACTGGTAATGGTAACAAATATACTTCAATAAATAAAGGGGAAAAATGGTTATTTTTTAGTTCAGTAATTAAGTGAAGAAGAGATATGAGGTGAAATGTGGTGTGAGAGAAAGGAAAAACTAAGTCCTCAGTAAGAACTAAGCCCCAGACCTCGTATTAAGCCAAAGAGAACTCTACGGAACACAGCGGTCAAAAGTCAGACATAGTCGGCCAATTCTGGCCGCCCGTGCACCAAATTCCCGCGCAAACTTTCGAAGGAAAAGACGAAACAACCGCTGTCTCGCAAAATAAGCTAAAGAAAATTGAAACGTTCACAGAAATCTGTTACGAGAAACAAAAGTAGGGAACTCGAGACTTTTAGAACACAACGTTTGTTCAGGGTATCCTGTTGATTTACCATAGAATATTATTTTACAGGCTCTTAACCCTTTACATCCCAACATCAGTATGCGTATTCTCCATAGTGTTCTCTATACATTTCTTAAGGGTCTGAAAAGGAGAATTTGTTTAACAGTCAAGAGTTCTTTAGTTGTAGATCATTTCCCTTAGTCTCATGAACTTAATGTTTGATTCGTGACGGATATTTGAAGGAGACATTAGATGCCAGTCATTTTTAGGGGTTAGAGGGTTAAAACACCGTGACTTACCTTTTTTGTGTGGTTTTATGTCACTCGTGTAAGATCATGAAGTTCTGACAGCCTGAAAGCACACCACCTAGTCTCACAACCTTCGCACGTGTGAAGACGTTTGACCGCTATGTTACTCTATGGCAAGCTAGGTTAATACTCGAAAAAGGTTCCATGGTTACCGACCGACTAAGGAGTACGCTGTAATACTCGTTTACTCACCATAGTCTGGCACCATCATAGCCATCGGTCTGAACAAAGCTTTTAAGTTATCTGGTAATTCTGTTCGACCAGCATATCCAGGGTTCATTGTGATGAATGCCGCACAGCTTGGAATAAGTTTGATTTCACGCCCCTCAAACATGAAACGGGAAGCCTAAAGGAACAAAACATCTTCTCAAAGATTTTTACTTTAAAAATTTAAAAGAGCGTCAAGCTAACCAGCCGTGATACAAGTCCATAGGATGGTACAAAACTTTACCTTAGCCACTTTGGCGTTTCTTATGGTGAGAAGTTGCTGAGCAATAACAGACAACACTTCGATGTCAATTCTGTTAAACTCATCAAAACAACACCAGGCTCCTGACTGAGCCAAGCCAGAGAAGAACCGTCCCATCATCTTAAAGTCCAATCCTTCAGAGCAGTTGAACACCACGCATTGTTTAGCAAGGGCCTTGGCTAAGTCCTGCGTACAAAATCACACAAAAGATATTGAACTATGATTACAAAACAGAACACTTCTTGTACGGGACGAGGTCTATGAAATTTTCCATACATAAGTGACCAACTACCGAGAGCGAAATTTGACGAAAGCCCTTGATTCCGGAGCTTTTCGACTGACGAATTCTAGTTTACCGGGAAAGTTCGAAAGAAACCCGCGAATATACAGGATGATTACTGTCTTGGTTGAGGAAAACTTCCGGGTGATAAATTTCAAATAATTTCCAGCACAAATTTTGCAAAACGTATTTTCTTACATTGAACTCTTATGATTTTCCCTGTACGACAAAATAAGTATTTGGCTGACAGCAACATCACTGTGACCTAGTGGAACTCACTACGAAACAGCAAATCCTCTAGTTGGAAGTGATTTGACCACAATTCTTAGACTATAAAAGGAAAGTTTAAAAAACTGACTTCGAAGTTTCTTATATTATATTCTCTCATCTCATTCAGTTCTCGTTATCAACTGATCAAAGAAGATGTTCCACACAGTTGTTAGTTTAACGGATGCAACCAGAAATGCTAGAACTTTAGATTTCTCATAATATTCTTTTGCTACCTCTGACATAACATAACACCAAGAGTGAAACTATGGCTTATCAACAAATAAAACTTTGTTATGCAGGTCTACAGGATTACCTTAGTAGTTTCTGTTTTTCCTGTCCCGGCAGGCCCTGCGGGTGCTCCTCCCAAGTCAAGCTGTAGTGCTCCCATCAAACACAAGTAGCACCGATCCTTCAAACAAAAAAAAGACACCTTTTGTTCTTCTCTGACTGAGTTGGTTCAAGTACGTCCCTGGTAAAATGCTTCTCTTTTGAAAGAAATTTAATTCAGGTTGGAGTTACGACGTTACATATGTGTCTTGTCACATGTTGAGGTACGCACAAATTAATCAACAAACTATTGCAATACGTCACAGCTGCTCTTTTTGTCAAAAAAATTGTCTCTACGACAGAATGTTGTGCTGCAATGAGTCGCACGAATTCAAACTGGTTTGAATCTTTGTAATTTCAGCTGTAAAATAAATTCAAGCAATTTGTTTGGTAAGCAATACCTACCTAGTGGTTTACCACAAAAACCTGTCGCACTGATCTGTCGCCGCGAGAGTCGCGATGTATTTAATGAAACATAAGCAACGTATACAAACGCAGTAAGGGCACCGAGCTAAGATATTTCCACGCGGCAGCGATACAAAATCCTTTTTAAAAATGTACACATAGGTACACAGATAAATCAATGAAGATTTGTTATTAAAGTATGTCTTACTGTAAGTGGTGTGATGACCAGGCGAGGTGAGGCACCAAGGTACTCATAACCATAGATGTACAAGGAGTTGGACATGCGTACAACACAGTTGTCCAGGTCTGGATCCCAGTAGTAACGTAACTGTTTTACCCATTCAAAACTGTTCACATTATCAACCTAAAGTATTCAACAAACATTAGGGTCAATTCTATGTAAGACTGAAGGTTCGAGCCGTCTCTCAGAGAACTAACTTTGAGTGCAGAGAACTTATTTTTATTCAAGCGGTATTCATTTCGATCAGAATTTAGGGGGCAATAAAGAGACAGGTCAAGTGTAAATAAATTGTGGAAAAGTTTGATAGGCAGCGCAACTTTATGGGGATTCAATGCACTTTATTGTATCGCTCAGTTAGTGCGCGATAGTGTGCGCCCACTACATTCAAAAGTTTGCGCCGATTTATGACCTGCGCGCTTAACGAAAATTACAGACTTTGAACTCGGTTGGTAAGAGATATCTAACTGATGACTTTTCGTTAGCTGATACAAAAATTCATCGTTATTGATATATCATTTAATGAAAATGGAACACACAAAGCTGCACATACAATTTCAGACTGCGTCTAACTTAATCGTATTAACAGCAAGGTAAAATATGCAACATCGCCTATTTTATCATCAAGCATCAAGATAAAAATCAAGACAAGACGAGTTGAGATTTGCTCATGCAGCTGTATACAATTAAGAGGTTAATGACCTGATGTTCCACCATTCCTGTGACTATATCCCTTGCATGCACATCAATAGTGATCAAAGCACACAGAATGTTCCTGGTCAGTTTTGGAAGCTCTCCACGAACCAGTGCAGCAAGCTTGTTCAAATTCTAGGGGGAAGTTGGAAATAAAAAAAAATTAGTAAAGCATCACAAAACTTTTGTATCTTATGAGTTAAAAAGATAAAGTGGTGACCTTCTTCCCTTTTTAACGCCTTCCTTCATGTTTCTGTAGCATTTAAACAGAAGTTATGTTGCAATGTGCTCGATCAAAGGTCACAGCGCCCTTGCGAAATCTATGAAAATGTAAACCAATCATAGGTATCGAAAATAATAAAAGTTTGTTTTGTCTTACAGTGACACACATCTGTTCTGCTTCCTTCATGGCCTCTAGCCTGTCACCTTCTGTAACCAAACATTCCGTGATGTCACGACACCACATGGTCTGAGAAACGGTCAGAACAACCTACAACAGAAAAACAGTTGTGTAACAAATCAAACGTATTTCTAACCATTTCATAATACATTCCGTAAGTGAAAAAGCTTAACGGTTATGAATGGATAAAAGCTGTTTGGAGGAAAGAGTTAAACAATAATCTGTTAAAAAATAAGCGGAACTCTTAGTAAGTAAGAAAAAACATCAACTATAGTGAAATAAATTAGCATGAAATTCATTGAAAAGCCTCTAAAACATTTTTGCTCTCCAACAACCAAAATGTTTTCCTTTATATCGTATTGTTGATCATAGATAACCAGAACATATGGCTGCGTTTTAAATAACAGAATTCAATTAACACACAGTGTAGACAAGTAAAGAAATAATACAGATATGATTTATTAGTAAATACCATACAAGTGAATAATGCTTTTCCCACCCGCTGATCGGCTAGTCCGGAGGTAAATAGCAAGTACTATTCACCTCCGAGAAGCCGGTGAGACAAAATAGCACGTCAAGAGTTTAATTTTTGACCATTTTTTGGTATATTGAAACAAATAAACTAAGTTTTTTGATGTGTGTGTAGTATACACTAAAAAAATTATTCACCTCAGTGTCAATGAAAGTGGTGGATATTTACCTCCACTCAGATGAGAAATTGTTAATTATTGACTCAGTATAGCGTTGAGTTTACCTGACTAGGATGTAGTGTAACCCATTCTTCTCTCGGTCTGCTCTCATAGTCAGCTATGGACGCTTTGGCTAGTTTTCTGAGTGAAGAAACCATAGACTCTTCAACCTTACCAAGCCAGTCTTCCACATTACCACGAGCCTTCAAACCCTTGAACAGATAAAAAAAAAATTATAAGATTCTCTATGACCTCAGACGGAAACGACTTCACTGTGACGACCACTAGTCCTACAATTATGTAAGGAAACAAGGACAGGAATAAAATATTGTTTTTCACCTTTGTAAGACCAACTCTTTCTCCTTCAGGTGAGATCATTGCAAGGATATCATTGGTCTTTGTTTCAGCAGCCTTACCAGCTGAGGCGGCTGAAAACCAGACAATGCAGCAAAGGTTAGAGAAACTTGAGACAAACGCTTGTCGCTTGAATACAAAGGACATAAAACTAAAATGTAATATCAGTTGCAAAGGAAGGATATCGCAAGGACCGGAGTGAGCCTTCCTGATTTTGTAGCTCGCTTGAACTAAGTCTGCAATCTTTTGAACACGTCAAGCAAGCATTCTGTGACCTATGACCGGAAATGAAAAGGTCTGGCCAAATCAGACAGTTAAGCAGCCAATATAACTCAACTACTCCGCCAATGCTAGCCAAATAAAATAAAGAAAATTTCTTAAGTGAGCAGGTTGAGAGGTCCACATTGAAAACAAACATGGACGAAATAAAGCTGTTCAATGAATTTATTTCGTATATTCTCTTACATTAACTTCAGGAATGAAAAAGTTTTTCATTCCTGAGTTCCCCGCACCTTGTTAACGACACAATTAATTGGTAACAGAACTGAGTGGAGTACAGTGCAACGGTAATTGTGATTTCAAATTACTCTTGCGCTACGCCCTCGGCCAATTTGTGATCACTCGCCCGATTACTCCCTGAATTGTTCTTCACACAGACCTATTACTATTACGTAGTAAAACTTACGTCTCTCTCCTGTTGGTGTGACTGGTTTTTCAGCTGCTGATGGTGTGGGAGGTGGCTGAGCAGCACTGCCAAACTCAAGTCTGAGAAAAGTTGAATAGATTGGAAAAACATAAAGTGTTGGAGGGCTTTTTCTTTCGACCTCCTTTATGATATATTGATAGTTGAAAGCTAAGAAGTACAAAAACTTACTTTGAAATGGCATCGAAACACTTTTGCAAGTGAGGCTGAACAGCATGCGGATTACGCGTCTGTGATAAGATTTCCAATAACTCGTCATTTGAAAGGAAATAGAACCTAAAATAACAAAGAATCGCGTTATTGGTGATAACACACCTAATCACCCAGTGGCGGATCCAGACCTTAAGCTAGGGTGGGGGCCGGTTTTTTGTCGCTTGCCTTGTCGGCTTTTCTTCCTTTTGCGATTCTTTTTTTTTTTAACCAAAATAAGGGTTACATATTGTTGCTACTTTACCAGGATGAGTGGATGACTTGTCAGCGTAACTGACAAATAAGGCCTAAATCCGCTACTGTCACCACTCACACTAGAAATGAGCCGACAACAAAAGAAGAACCTTTTAGCTATCATCTCATAACTACCTTGGAAAGATAACACACTTGGACTCCAGGTAGGCCTCAAGGCACTTCTGAATTTGATCTAAAAGGGCATTGTTATTCTGGAATATCTCGAGCAGTCCTGAAACAAGTAAGGAAGCATTTCAAATTTCATTTATCAGAAAAAAATTGAGCCATAAAACCACAAAGAAACGTCAGCTTTGGAGAGTGGTCCAGAAACTCTCTACTGTGTTCAAATTACATCGCCAACTCAGTTGATAAAACCTAATTATTCTATTTTTATAATTAACGCTTTTTTCGTGTAATGTTTAGCCAGGAACAGATCAGAAACCTTCAGTGGCGGCTGGCGGTTATAACACACTCTGGACATGAAAATATTAATATCCAGTTACCTCTACGTGAACACTCACCTGGTTGGGTGGCTGCTCTGAGAGCGTTGGGAAGCCTGTGGACTTTTCTCATGACTTCCTTCCATGACTTGTCAACTGTCAGAAACATTTTGGCTTCAGCTGGTAGCTGACGCTGGATATCTGGAGCGCTAAAAATGCTCTCAAGGTATAACCAGTTACGCTGACAAGTCATCCACTCATCCTGGTAAAGTAACAACAATATGAAAGTCACGTCTTTGTCATTTGTTCCCTCTGATAATGATTTTCTTTTCCAAAACCCAGCAGGTGGACAAACACTGGTTGAAAGAGTGCGTTGCGTAGTTATGGGTTTTAAAATATTTTGCCTCTAAAAAATTATCGGCATCTAATCAAACTTATCAGCACAGCTTAAAAATTTGGGAAGTATCTCTGAAAAATATGCATTAATTTAAGCCTCACTGAAAAGTCGATTCACGCAGATACATAACTTAAAAAAAATGGCTTATCTACTATGACTGCAAGTAACAATCATGATCATAACATAGCTTCACAGAAAAAAAAAAAAAACTTTGATTCATTCCACTCCTCCATAGGACTGGTAAGTCTTGACATTTGAATCTCTTTGCGTTGTGTTCGCATGTTCACCCATCCACTCAAACGAGCGATTTATGAGTTTTGGTTTCCTTGACGAAGACTTCTTGTCTCAGACAAACTGGCAAATGCATGATTTCAAAGCATCATATGCAAGTAACAATAATTTTGGAAAGTAGATACTAATCAAATCTTACCAGTGTTTCACTAAAGAGGTGAAGTTGCCTTTGCCAGTCATCCACTCTTGGTCTGATTGGGCCAACATGTCGAGAACCAGCAATAGTGGATATATTTATCTATAGAGAAAGTGAAGAGAGTTAACACACGACTAATCATTCCCTTTAGGTTTAAAACAATGTTTCAAAAATTCTAATCACCATGCTGTCATCAAGCAGAGCCTGAATATCATCGATTCCACCCAAGATAAAAACATCTTTGGAGTCACGGTGGGGTAACACAATGAATTCTGTTTGCTTCCATGAATCTTCAACCTGAACAACATTACAAGAAAAAAATATTATGTATCAGCTTTTTCCATGACTACTTTATTTGCAGCCCACTTGCCAAGATTGTTATTTTAACTTCAGCGACATCTAAACATTACGTCATTAAAATACATAACTTCGTAAAATTCGATATCTGAGCATGCGTAAACTTAGGATTTGCCTATTCGCAATTTTTCCCCCGCTGGTTTCCTTTCTATCGATTTTTTTAAGCATAGGAGGCCTATGGATATTATGAACATCGTTGCAAGAACCCTGGAGTTCATTACAGAAAATCTTTATTATTTCATAAACCTTTTTAGCAAAAACTGTGCCATCGTTTCGAACGCCATATTTGTTTAGCTTGTTGGCATTTTTGAAGTTCGCGCTATGTTTGCGATCCAGATCTCGCGCGGTCAAAAACCCTATGGAGCCTCCTCAATTCAGCTTTATGATAAAAATACAAAACAAAGTCACTAGCAGGATTATTTGTCAAAACCTTTTTGAGGATTCCCTCAAGTGATGCTTCACTAGACGCCTGCCCGGAGACTTCTTCAATAGCTTCTGTATGATCAAATGCATCAATCTTGTTGAGTAATCCCAGAGTAAGTGGTTCTTCCTCAGTAAAGTGGTAACCAAAGATCTGTTGAATGTGCTCCCAGTGGCGAGGTTTCAGAGCTGGGTTACGCAGGTTGGTTATTACTGGTAACTATATTAAACCAAGTCAATAAAACATATGCGTAAGTATGGAAAATGAACTTTTATACAGTATACCACTGACAAGCTCAAACCACTACTTCTCTTAATCACAACCTGACTGTTAAACAGTAAAAACTCAAGCTAATTGCACTTGTCATTTAGCTCGTGTTTTTTCGATGAAGCAAATATTTAAGTAAAAGCATTCACTGAAGGTTAATCAACCATTACAGCTGTGGTTCAATCACATTATGATGATTTTATTCAAATCTACTGGTCTAAATATAGATGCAGAGAAACAATTAGATTTAAAATTCCTCTTTATTTCTGTATTTCATCAGCCTTTTCTTGACCTTGTAATGCATTTTGATTTGTGATCATTGCTTTATGTCTCCTTTAAATTCAAATTCTTTCAAACTACTTTAAAGCCATGAGACTGCTCTAAAAATAATCAATATTCATATCTATACGATATAAGAATAAAAAATAAACTGATTTGAAGATGGAGTACAATTCAAAGAAAATGATACAACATGTAAATTTAGCCTTGCTGTCATGTCTTCACTTGAGTGGGTTCTATTGCTTTTATGAAAAAGAAAAAGTTATTAGTTTACCAGTAATTTTTAATTATAAAAATCTACCTTATGCCTCATCCCTTCCACTTTATCTTTCAGTATTGGCACCACTGAGTTGGGAGGCAAACCTTTCTCCAATTGCATAACTGTCTTGGCATACTTCATCACTTGGTTGCTCAGAGTTTCTGGGTTGAGCTCTTCAAAAGGAAGCTGAAACATTTTTCATGCACAGTTAACTTCTTCAGTTTGAGAAAATAGATTCAATTTCAATTGGCTGTCAAAGAAATTAAAATTTTTGTAAGAAAAAAAGAAAACAACAATGACAAGCCAACAGACAGACGACTAAAATTTCATTGAGATTAATGACAGTCGAACTTCAATCATCCAGACTCATTGGGACTAGATGAAATAGTCCGGATAACCAAGAATATGATTATTAGTGAGGAACAAAACCTGATTAAATTTAGAAAGTGACATTTCATCATCAAACAAAACATTTAAAATCAAGGACATGATGATCATGAATAAATATTTGTGATGCTGTGTATCTTGTTTATCTTGCATACGATGCCAAACAAACCAATAGAGGGAGAAATCTCACTTAGCAACAAAGCAACTCTAAGCCAATCAGACCTCATTCAAACGTTCTTCATTATATTTACGTCAGGCACGCGAGTGCTGCTTTTGCTTTTTGAAAGCATAACAAGCATGCATTTACTTCACTTTTCAACACTATAGTTTTAAAAAACATGGTTATGGATCTTAATCATGACTAATAAATATTCATAAAAAAATTGGGATCAGAGAAAATGTCTGGATTATCAAGAAATCCAGATAATTGAGGTCCAACTGTACCAGTACATGTATGTACTGAGGTTTGCCAACCACTGAAATACTTAATTGAACAAATGTGAAACAACTTTAATTTGCATGATAAAGTCTCAACTGGAAAGGATTTAAAGTGTTTCATAAGATGTTTTTCAATGACATTTCAACCAAAAGAATGCAGGATAGTAACACCCACCTCAAGCCATTCATCAGTGACAACATCCCATTCCACAAGTGAGTTCCACAATGCCTGTTTGAGCTTGAGCTCTGCATGAACTTCTTCAAGTTCTTCGAACTTGGCCACCTCAACCTATGTGTAGTGCAGACTTGTTAGATTAAACCTCACTCTTGCATTCTCTAAATGACAGCATCAGTACAAGATTATGTTTTTATTAGCTCTAATCTAATGTCAGACAAGGAGAAGCTTGAATGAAAAATGCATTATTGAGGAAGTTTTCCAGTAAATTCATGAAGCCATTGCTAGAAGGTCAAAAGAATCTATAAACAAAAAGCTGTTTGCATATAAATATGTCTATAAAAAAATATGCATTTCAAGGACTGAAAAAAGGAACCCTTAAGCTAATTTGAAACTCAGAAAAGTCCCTAATAATCTGGTTATGTTGTATAGGCCACTGAAAGCTATTAGTTCATGATCCTTGTTAAATACCTTGAAGTTCTTCTGGTGTGATTTGTATGTGAGTGCCAGGTTGTTGAGGCTATCCATTTTCTCTATGAGAACTTCAAGGTAGTGGATAATGTCCTGTGACTGTGAACTGGAATCCAAAATCTTGGGGTCCTGTAACAGAAATAAGTCTTGTAGTATAATCATGAAAACAAAGAAATACTGGCCAAGACACTAAACACTTTGACTTCCTTCTTGGTTACTTCCATTTTAAAAGATAACTAGAGATACAAAACATATCTTAAGCTTAAATGGTATTAAATTTTCCTCCAGTAATTTTAATCTGAGTTCTAAATTTTTCCTACAGAGGCCAGAAACTTTTAGGTCTTCCAAAAGCAGGATTTGATCACAAAATAGGAAGAGAGGATAATGACGACTTCCATCTTCACCTCGGAGAAGGAAAGGTACCACTACCATACACATGAGGGATCATTCATTGTTTGCAAAGGCAAAGTGACAGTCTTCAGTCATTTTCAGAAATAACAGCTTTCAACCCTTAAGTGAAATGTTTATCTTGGCTTTCATTACTCCATTTGAAATGACAAATGAATAGAACAAATCTACTTGTACAGTACAAATATTTTTCATAAGTGCTGAGTGTATTTAGTGTTAGCTCAATAACCTTTATAAACAATATGTGCTACACCAACCTGTGCTTTTTGCTTCACTTCTTTCACCTCCTTACCCAGTACCACGATATCTTTGTCAATATGTGTACACATCTTGTCAATATTGGCATCCCTCTCAGCTAATGATTTGTCAATTACATTACGAACCGCTGTAACTGTGGGCCTCAGAGTCTATAAGGATCATGGAATTTATTGAGTTTTTTTTAACTGTTCAAGGACTTCTGGTACTTAATATTAGCAACATGTAAAATCCAACTTTGATGAAGTAACCAGCCACTTTAAAAAAAAAATGGTTTACAAAAGCATTCCAAATTTCTCAATACATGTAGTTTTGGCAGGTGATGATAATCATCTCATCTTGAGGTCACAGATACTTCCTGATATAAAAACACTTTGATAATTAAACTGTGATCAATGTGTGTGCCTTGACGCTAAGGCCAAGATCTCTGATTTGGACACTCACACTACAGTTCTATTTACAACTTTAAATCTTAATTCTACAGACAGAACCAATACCTGGTACACAGCAAGATCCTCAGGTGGCGTTGGTACTTTGTATGTCTCAATCAAGTCATACAGCTCTTTTACAACAGTAGCATCTCTTTCAATATCATCAACCTAAAAAAAAAAGTAATAACTCACATTGATTCACTAGGCGGAACACAGGTTAGATCCTGAAAATGTTAGGACTGACAAGACCTACTTGTAGTGCAGCTTACCATTTTATTTTCATTATTCTTTATAGATTAGATTTAACAGTGTTTCAGAAAAGTACAGAGCACTTCCTGAGAGATTTTGACAGAAATGACACCCGATTACTCACGTGATTGGCAGGCTGTACAGCTTGCTATGCAGTGTGTAATACTAGCACACAAATAACACATTACTTTTGTAGTGCTGTATTTACATTTACAATTAAACTTAAGCATGTGAACAAATTAGCAAAATATCATGATTTCACCTTGCTCTACATGTAGGTAATATCAAAGTAACACACCCTGATAAAGAATGAGGTTAATCAGTTTGATGTTATTTGTGGTATGTAAATAAAGACTACTGAAAAGACACTACCTTCTCTTGAATGGTATCAAGAAATGAAAGGCTTTCAACATATTCTGTGGTGCTACTTGGCACAGCTTCTAGTTTAAACTGAGCATCTTGACAGAATTCCATCAATGTATCTGTTCGCATCTTGGCCAACTTAGGCAATATATCATTTATCACCTACAATAAGGGAAAGAGTGCTTACATTATGTACATGTACATCTACCAACAAAATAGCACATGATGCTTAGTTGAACAAGTTACCTATCACTGAAAAGTTACATTTACTTAAGAACAACTACTTCCATATTGCAACAAGGAAAATGGAAACAATACAATATTTTGTCAAGATCATTAATAATTGTTTGTCGTAAAACCACACACAAAGAATCTTCAAACCCAGCTGATGAAATATCCAGGGAGATGGGTAATGGAACAAATTTGGACCACACTTACCTCTAAACATTTCAGTGGTGATGGAATAAGGACTTCTTTCAACTTCTTACAATCAACAAGGATCATGCCAATTGGTCTGTGTTCCAAAATGCTGACTGCTTGTTCATGTTCACTATTGTATTTGTCCAGTGAGTTTGAGAAGAAGTGAACATCTGATTTACAAAATGAAAAAATTTATTTCTTTAGATAACCACTTCTTAGGTTAGAATTATCTGTCAAAACACAACCATAAAAAGGGTATTTGTAATCATTATTACCATGCTCTTCTTGTCTAATTCCTTCAAGATCCAAACTCTCATTCTCTTGGTAAAACTGGCGATAAGGTTCAAATGTATTGGCATACTGCCATGCAGAGTCAAATGCTGAGGAAATTGCATCCTAAATAAAAAGAAAACACTTTAATTGAACAAATCTTTGGTAGGTCATTATAAGAAAAATAGTACAGATGTACAGTATGTACGCAAAAGCAAACTTTTGAATAACATCTGTTTAAAATTGTTCAAATTATGAAAAAGAGAAAAAGCAAATTAACTTGATTTTCAAAAAGGCTATGTAATCAGACACACTTTCCCAGATAGATGAGGCACACCTTTAAAAATAATAATTGCTAATCATATGACCTTCAGCACTGCTTACACAATACTATAGAAAATCATGATGAAAGCTGTGTAGCCCTGCTCTGTCACATCATCTGAGATTGTGAACTCTGATTGGGTGTGCAAAGAAATTAAGTGAAAGCTTTTATTGTAGAATCTTGCTTGTATTTGTGAAGTGTGTGCCCTTCTAATAATTCTTATCACATCCTATTTATGTTCAAACATGATTTAAAAAATTATAAGACTTAGCAGTCATATGATAAAAATCTGACTGTGTTTTGAGCAACAGACATGAAAATATTTTGCTCTCGGTCATGATGCACAGACCACACAGCCATCAGTCTGTAGGTCATGACCTTATGCCAAATATCTTTTTGTCTGGTCCTCCCACTCAGTCAATAGCCACATATCATCATTCAGATGAAACCCTAAACCATTTGCAAAAATACTTTGAAGTTTGACTCAACCCCTTTATTTCTCATCAAAATATTATGTGCTAAAATTTCCTTTTTTTTTTTCACCACTCATAAATATTAAAACCACGTACCTTGATACTCTGTATAATTCCCTGAAGATGTCTATCATCCTCAAACATGGTAGCCAGACTAGGACCATCACCAGCTGTTTTCTCCTCAACTTTACCATTGATGAAAGGTCTATGTTGCAACAAAAATTAGAAGTCAAAATAATGTATTTTCCACAGATTTAAAGTGTTACTCTGTCTTCAGTTTATAAGGTTCATACGAGCTTAAACAGCACTGTATATACTGTAAGTTTTCCATGACTGAAGATAATGGAGAACATCAAAGAATAGACATATCTGGCTTTTAGTTTCCAACTACATGTTTTTCTTCCTAAACCTTGAAACTTTCAAACATGTCCAATACACCCAATCTCACTCAATTTGTCTATGGTAGTTGATGAATAGACTGACTGGAAGTCGAATGGTGGGTTAACACATGGTGAGTTACAGTAACACAAGATGACTAAATCTCAATCAATTCAAAGGCTGCCTTAGTTGAATTGACTAAATTAAAATGTATTGGATAACCCTCAAAACTTACTGCGTAAAAGCATCAAAATATTGGTCTGGCACCAGGTTTTGAACACTTAGGACAGCATCTTGAAACTTTTTTATGACTTCCCCTAGTCCATCCTGAAAGTCATCTAATCCAGGGGAGAAAAGCAGCATTTGAGGCTCAAGAAGCAGCTCTGTGGTGTACAATGGATGGAGTTCCCCTTGTTCATCCTGCAAAAAAAAAGGAGCATGCTCTTATCCTAGGATCTACCAGGGTCACATTAACACATTAACAGCCCTTCTTACTCACCCAATTAACCACAATTTGTGGTTAATTGGGTGACACAAATAATTTAAGAATCACTACCACCCAGAGACATCTCGTTTGTATTAAGTAAGATATCATTCCAGCATAACAATAAATTGTTTAGATTCACCCAAAATGTGTATAGTTATATTCTGCAGTCAGGGAAAACAGTTGGGTGACAACGAATATTGGCCCCAAGCACTTTCATACATCTGCACATTTAGCGTACTCCTATAAGTTTTAGTTAAGAACTAACTTCTACTATAGTAAGTAAATTATAAAATCATAACCTGTGAATTGAGGCAATACCTTTTGCTCTATACCCTCCCCTTCTGGTTTCTCTTCTTCTTGCTCCATTTCTTCACTTGTTCCCTGGATTTGCGCAGGGGTGGGTGTGTGCTGTAGTTGTTCCTCCAAATAGTTTAGCAGAGTTGCTACAGAGTTTGCTGCTAGGACATGCATGGTATTCACAATGAGGTAGTCAGCAAGCCGGATAAAGCTGAAAACAAATTCATAGCAACATAAATATAAATTATTCAATTTTGAGGCCAATCTGTTTTCAGATTGCAAGGCTGCAAAGTTATCTGACACATTCTTATCACATGGCACCCTCCTTAGCCATTTTTTGAGAGCAGCAATTAGTCAGGTAGCACCATAATTGTGTACAGTGTTGAAAAAGCATACTAGAATATACTTGTAACATTCTATGGTTAGCTCTGCCTCAAAAAAAGTTCCCAAAAAGTTACAATAGACATACTTGAAAATGTTTATTTCAGATCTTGTACAATCTATTTTCATAATAATGATTGGAATGCTATTATTAGCTAGGCTTTCCCAAGAACATAGTAAAACATGATAGAAAGTCTGTATTTATGCAAGTATCTTAAAAGACATTACTGTAAATTCATCTTAAAATAACAGGTCTTTCATCTCATTTCATTTCTTCTTTTCTGAGAAACTGCCAGTCTTGATCCATTTATACAGCAACTCTGACACAACTGATATTTACCTTGTAAGTCTTTTACAGTGGCTTCGTTTGTTAGCCTGCTCTGTGTAAGTCATCTTGTCGGGTGCATCACCATACATATCCATCTCATACCCACTTGGCATAAGATAGGAGGACATTGAATGTGCAGGGCCTCCATATTCATCTGTCCAAAGAATCATTAAAAATTTACAAGAAACAACTCCAGAACATATATAATTTGTTAAGTGTTGACATGTAAACTAAAATGCTTTGAAGACTAAGCATTCTTACAACAAAGAAGATGTACAACAAACCTCTACTGGATAGAGAAAAAGTATGTAAAATGACCTGTTGCTGGTGATTCAAATTTTCTTTGAGATGAAACATTTTGTGTTAAATATTTTGCATTTTAAACTGTTTGAAATAACATTGCATGCATTTTGATATATATGAAGGAACTACCAGGGTGTTAAATAGCTGAACTCATTTTCATGTTGAGGTGTTAAAATTATTAATATAAAGATTAAGCCAAGCCTAAAAGTGGAGCTCCCATTTTTTTTTCCCGCACATCTCAAGGGCACAATGCCTTGGCCAGGACTAGAACCCAGGTCATCTGACTTGGAGCCCTATGCACTGACCACTGAACTACTGAACAACGCCACGGTGATGGCATGCCCACGGTACAGTTGATCACGCATGTTAAAAGTAGCACCTTGTATGGTTGTATGGTTGTTCAGTCATACATCCAAATTTTTTCAGCTTGATGGGTTACTACTATTTTGTATTATGGGACTGTGCTCAGCGAGCTCCACTATAATTCAATCATCTTAGAGAGTGGCACCTCAGTCTATAAATGAGACATCAATAATCATAATTTCATACTAACCTGCATACATGCCCATAGGACTTTCCATGTCCATGAAATAATCATCAGGTGTGAATCCAGCCTCTAGCAGAGCTGTTCGACATGCACTTCTGACAACTTCTTTGACAAGGTCACGGAACTCTGCTAATCTTCCAGCCACCTGCCAATACAAAAATATCCACATTTCAGCGACTGAAAAATACTTTGGCAATATTGCTGTCTTTATCAATTTGATAAAATGATTAATTTTACGTAAGGCAACTAAAAGAGCCAAGTGAAACATGATTTACTCAGGCATAAAAGTCACAATGAGGCATGAGTAAGGTCAAACATTACAACACAGCTTAATCTCATATCTCACACAGAGGATACAAACATAAAACTATACCCAAAATCAGTCCCAAGACTCAGGATGCAACCCAAAAAATCATTTCAGTCTCTACCTACATGTATGATTAAAATGATCATTATAAATAAGAAAATCAAGTGCACTAATGTATGCAATTGTGCTGATGAAAATATGCCAATTACCAGTGCTGTAGTTGTGAGAAACTATAACTGTATAAAGTAACACCAGCTGGTCTGTGGTTGGTGGTTTGCTTACATGTCTTGCTCTTTCAAGGGTTGGGTTTTAAAACAAGGCACACTCCACATGCATTTCATGTGTTCATGGTTTAACAAGTTTGGAAGTAATTAACAAGTCTTATTTTGCATTACAATTATGAAATGGCTCATAGTGACAAGGATTACTTTGCTTACAAATGTAAATATCACACTATTAGAGCTCTAGACAGAGAGTTATGAAACATATCATTGATTAATTAATAGTAATTTCTTCTACATACTTCTTCAAGCTGCTCAAACTGAGCATTCCTGAACTCATCCAATGTGTAAGTGTGCCCTTTCTCCACTCTGCACAGGCCCATGTCACTGATGCGGTAACACATCTCTCGCACATTCAACAAAGCTGGGCGTAATGACTAATAAAAGATAAATTCTCATGTTCATTGTTTAGGACTCTACATCAAAACATCTAAGAAAAAATTCCAAAAAGTGTACTAAATTAGCATCACATGTACTTACAGCATTTACAATGAAGAGATTCTCTTGTAGTTGATTTTTACACTGGGTCACTTTTCTGTGTTTGTGAGAAAGAGGAGATACGTTATTAAGTCCTCCAGTAAAAAAGGGAAACATTCATTAAAGAACTTGTCAAAGTCCACTTCTTCCTGGTTCATAAAACAGTACTCAACAGATCTCAAAAACTACAGGGTGTAGCTCTGTCAGTTAAGAGCTTGATGGATGTAAAATTGAAGTCAGACTGAAAACAACAATTATTAAACAATATAACTGGGTTGCAACAAAACTGAGAGTTGTAATTTCTTGGTATTCATGTGTAAGTATATTCTAAATATATGTTTTCTATTTGATAATAGCATTTTGCAAGGTCATTATCACAACATCCATTCACAATTTTAGTAAAATAAATCATGTTTGTTCACTTGTGGATCAAATTTCAGTAAATAAATACTGCTTGTAGATGGGCTGCAATTTAAGTAATTGCAGAAAAGAAGCCTGGAAAAAGAATTCAAGCTTCAAAGGGATTTGAAACTGAGCCTCCAAGAAACATGTACTGTAGCAGTTGGCCACTACTACCAAGTGAGCAACTAAGCCGCACATTAGGAATGAGACAGATTCTAGTAAGGCTTTAGTTCCTGCAGAGGAATGTGATCATAATTTTAATTAAATAAATCGTGAAAAACCTAAGAACTTTGCCTTACTCCCAAACTGTGGCTTAGTAGCTCAGTCCATAGTATTGCTCAACCAGTATCTGGGAGGCATGAGCTCAAAACCCGTTCAAGCAATAATTTTTTTCAGGCTTCTTTACTCCAACTTTTTAATAACAAACCCCCTGCAAGGATCTTTTATTGACTTGAACATCCATTAACCATTTAACCCCCTAATAGGGGCTAATATCCAATTTCTCCTTACAGTACGACTCCTTGAATTAGACATCAAGGTAATAAGAATAATGGCAACAATCAATAACTACAAAAACTCTGGATTGTTAAGCAAATTCTCCTTGTCAGCACCTTTGGAGATGCACAGAGAACAGTATGGAGAACATGCATACTGATGATAGGGTGTAAATAGTTAACTTTGCAAGGTTATAAGGGGATACAAGACACACAAAGACATCAGCTTGCCTCTACACTTACACATGTCATGCACATCTACTAGTTTCTTTGTTTAGTTTACAGATTTTGTTGATGTCTTACTTTGTCTTGACATTCTTTCTCCAGACGACAAATGCCTTCCACATCCTAAAGTTAGCAAATGTTGGAATTTTGACAAGTCTTTTGTAGTCCTTGTATTCCTTCTCCCAGCGTTCAAGACCAGTAAACTCTGCTTCATTGTCACAAGTGTGAGTTACTCCCTCAAAACTTATGGTGTAGTAATCTGAATGGTCAATTTCTGAATGCTTTACAATTCTGTTAATTAAAGGAAAACATAAACTTTCAGTTGTATGAAAAAACCTTTCATTAAACAGATCAGTTGAATGTCACTGACTCATAAATCTTAAAATCAAACACTGTAAAGTGGTAATAATTTTAAAAAATAATTAATAATACACTATAGTATGAGATACATCCAACATCACAATAGTCTTCTTAAATTACATGTACTTACAATGTACATGAAATATTTTGATTCCTGCATCTTCAATTAAATGGATAAAGATTTGCAATCCAGGTACTTGTATGATGCAATTATTATGTTTAGAAAAGAGAGAACTAAAAATATCAGGACATCTCATCCTGAAAGATGTCAAGGTCTAGATGCTGCCCCCTACCTCAACACGAAAAATTATTTTACAGGTCACTGGCACACAAGGTGATTCAAATGTGAGGGACATTTGTGTATGATCCTCTTTTTTATCTGCTAGGGTGTCAATGTGAGTGATAAGATATGTTTCTTGAAGAAAGTGTTGGACAAAAAAGAATTAAATTCTATGAGGAATCAGATGAAAGACCATAGGATTTCATGTGTCATAATTTGCTCTACCTCTGAGCAACAGAGAACCCTGTGGTGGGCAAGGCCGTTGCTAGGTTCATACAAGTACATGACATGCATTCTGCTTCAGGCTAGAATCAGCAATGTTGATAGTATAGTGTGAATGAACAGAACACTGTGAACTTTGTGTCCAGTTGTCAAAAGAGATTTCACTTATCATTTGCTTTTCCAACAAGGAATAAGGTCATAAACAAAAGCTCCACCTCATTTGTTCCTGACTGTTGCCATAATCAGTTCCTTCTGCTCACTCCCAGAGATACATGTATTATGGTTGCTTTATCTTTGTAAAAATTAAGACTAAAGTTCACCGTTTTTTACATCTCTTAATGTACTAAAAATTCAATATTGAATTTTATGACAATCCTCTAACCGCACACCCTCCACCAAATGTTTACAAGCACATCTTACTTTCAAATAAAGCTGCAAAGAATGTTAAAAAATAGAGAGTTTATTTGTAAGTAACGGACACACTTAGTTGTCTTATGATGAGAGAACTGAACCTAGAAACATTCCTATACTTACAAAAATATATGCATTGTTAAATACTTACTTAAGGTTGTATGGGTTGTATTCTATTGATGACCTATCAACAGCAGGTGTCATGTAAAGAAACCCCAGTTTAGAGTTCTCCTTGATCAAACTGATGATCTGAAGTGGATCTCTCAATCCCTCAGGTATAACATCAGTCTTCTCCACTACAGCTCCTCCATTTGCAAAAGCATGACCATTTGTTTTTTGCTTTGGTGAACCCTTCCTTTGAGGGGCCCTAGCATTAACTTGAGCTACTGAGTCAATTTTGTCTTGTTTATTCTTTAGATCATCTGGTAGGCTTGGTAATGGAGATGTTACTCGCTCAAGAGGTTCTACCACATCCCTTCGGCATGCCTTCTTCTTTTCTGGTTCAGAAGAGGAGGGTGGTGTTGGGGTTTTTGTCTTCCCTGAAGTAGGAGTATAGGGAAGACTCTTTTGCCTTTCTTGATATCTAGCAAGGTTTGGCTGAAAGAAAAAAAATTCCATTATTGTTTGTATTTGTTATTTACAACCACTGATAAATTAACTGCAAAGTTATGGTTCAGTCTGTACTTCAATCAACCTTGAACAATATTTTTCTCTAACAATAAGAAGCATTTTGCAAAAGTTTAGGAAAGCAATAAATTTAGTAACTATTTAATGACCTTTATATGACTGGGCACAATTTTTCCAACAGTAGATAAAGTGATTTGACAGATAAATCACTATCCAGGAGATAAGTGTCAACAAAAAAACCTAGTAACTGCACTATTGAGTGGAGAGAAATTTATCCTGAGTGAATAGTGTTATCCACCCTTTGAACAAGCATTGCCTGATAATTTTTCATCATCTCTTAATTCTCCTTGGTCACAGGGTAGGTCTTCTATGGTGAGATTACTGCTACATTTTATCTCAATTAATTAGTTTTTCAACTTACCAAGGGCTCAAGTCTTGGTGCTGTTGGTATATTCTGAAGAATAACAACAGAAAATAAATCATAGTATAGGAAAACCAACCAGTATATGATTTAACTGTAAGTCAGCCATCAATCAAAGTCTACCAAACATGTTGTAGGCAGTTAAAATTGTACCTTAGTGTAGACAAGACCCACACACGCAGCATTAGTTCGCAAAATTGCCATAAAGTTGCACAAGAGACGAACGCGCAGAAATAAGTAAGCCTAAACTACAGTATTATTAAACAAAACTTGAAAGACGTGTCACAGGTCATTATTATAGCTTGCGCATAAAGTTAAATGTAGCTGTGTTAGCATTCATTTTCTTTTCTTAATTTGACAGAGAGAGTTCAGAAATGAATTACAAAATTGTTTAACTTTCGGGGTTGAGACTCAATCTTCTGGAGGGAAGGGTCACTTCTTGTATATTTTGATGGCGATTTTTCAAAGCTGTGTAAGCTCTGCTGAAAAAATGTTCGTGTTTAAACTTCTCTGAAGAATATTATGTTCCTCCGCACGTCCATAATTAGGAAAAAATAGCTACATGAAGTAGGTATTTCACACTCGAGCTTACCTTTTTGAGCTGCACCGGGGTCGGACCACTGAATCTAAGAGCCTTTGGATTTGGTTTTAATTGTGGTTTTGCATAAATACGAGCGCGAAGCTCATTTTCGTCAATCCCTGGCAAAGAAAATGCATCGGATCTTGGTTTGTTAGAGGGTTTCCTACCGCCATTCGCGAAGGTACTTGCACCGTTTTGAGCCATTTTCTCCAAGAAGACTTTTTCTTTGATATTTACACAAACAAAAATCTGTTGTGCATCTTAGTGAACCACACAAAGGAGCATAAATGTCCTAATTAATCGCGGGAAACCTCCATACTTGACTTTGTTTTCCAAACTTTCCGCCATTTTGTTTCTGGAGAAAGTTGCTACGTAACGAGATTGTCAACTACGGGAGCCTCGGTATCATGCGGGAAAGCTCTTTTCTCTCAAGAACTTGTCTCGACGTTTTTTCCCGTGTCGCCTTTGTAATAACAAGATAATTTCTAAATTTAAGAGATGAACTAAAAATCAAGCCAAAAACTCAGAAACTATATTTACAATAGAGTAAAAATGTCAAGCAAAAGAAATGAGGGGGAGAGGGCATTCACGAAGTTTGGGTGTGCTGCCAAAACCCTAACGCGGATTGAGACAAAGTTCGGTCATATTCCATCCTTGTTAGAGATAGTAATTTAAGAAATTGTAGCTTACCGACCTCATGAATTCATCTGGTACATATCCAGAAAGACATCACTTTTATTCGTGGCCGTTTGCGACATTTACATTTCACCAAAACAAATAAATTGCAAGGCTGTCACACTCACGAAAGGCACAGGCCAATATTGTAGATGTGACTATGAGGTCCGATGATGTTGGTTGAAATAAAAGTATTTCCCGAAAATACTAATCAATATGATAATCTCATGATAAAAAAAATTATTCTACACGGTTAACGAAGTTTGTCAGTGTCTACTCTTGGCAAATAACTGAGCTCCTCTTCACTGACAAATCACCGTTGCTCCAGGCTAATTGTTTCATAAATACCGTGCATCTGTCGCATGGATGCAGTGATGTCAAGGGACACGGAATCAACTTCAAACCACGGGAAGTTCAAGATATCCAAGTTTCCTGACAAACGAAGCCCTTCTAATAGTGAACTAACCGAATAGTTTAAAGTAAACTGGAGTGGACGCAAACCGGAATCTTGTTTTGCATCAGGCTTAATTTCCGTTTCTCGGTCCTCCCATATGAAGAAGGAGCGTGGGCTCATTTTCCGAACAGCGGCTTGTAAACAAGCCCATCGATTACCCCGCTCCGGCTTCAGTGACTGTTCAGTTTGGTGATTTCACGCATGAACGGAAATTTGAGTTAGGTGCTGAATATTTTAAGACCTTACTTCGAATTCAAAACAATCCCTGTTCATTTTGCCTGCGGAATGAAAGTTATAGTCTGCAAATCTTCCCCTGAAGTAAATTGCTTAAAAGGTAGAAGATGAAACCGTTTTCGCAAATGTTCAACGTCGTTCAATTTTCTTTTTTTGTAGCCTATTAGTAATAAAGCCCGTCGATATATTTAATAAAGTATCAGTTCTTTAGTAATCCTCACCGATTGGCTTTGCATGATTTGTTGATACCATTAAAATGACAGTGATAATCTGAGAGATGTGGGAAGTGGTTGTTATCGCCATTTTGAAACAAAATCCGAAAAATAATTGAGAATGATAAAGGATTAACGAGTTCTTACCCTCTCATTTTGAAAAATGTTCTTCATTTTATCAACTAACAATTCTTACCTTTTCGTCATACTTAACATTATCTAATCGAAGAAAATAGAAAAATTCAACACACTTCACTGAATTTATGATTTTAACGCTCAAAGGGCGGAATGACCTAGTACCTTTTGCGTCAGAAATGACAGGATTAACTCAGGCAAATCAATCCATCAACAAGATTCAATGGTTTAGCAAAGATTGGTAAATTCTTTTTGGGCTACATAACTTCTAATAATCACGGAAGAGAGTTCGATTTTCAAACTTATGTCACGTTTGTATTTTGTTTAGTTGAACAGGAAGTAGAGTTGAATCCTCTTCTTGTAGAGCTTTCTCCTGGACCGAGTTCCGTTGCAGTCACAAATGAGCAACGTAAATAACCCATTTCTAGAGGTAAAGTGACAGTTTCAAGAAATGCGACATGCTGTGAATTTGATTATCTGTTGATTCTTGTGATAAACTCTTGGATTGTTTTGTCCTTGACTGAACTGAAATAATGATAGGAAGAGTACTTGGAGATGTGCATAATACTGCTAAATTCTTTAATCTTTTGAATAGAGATATAGTCTGGAACACGATCGATGTTTACCGACACGTTTTGACGAGAGATATGGATGACGGGAAGCATGAACAGGTCAGAACAGAAACACTCCTTGACTCAGTCGTGCGGCAGTTGTCGGTGTATGCAGTCGCCGCTATGGGTTTATTTCTCATAGTAAAAGAACACTTTATCGGTAAGTACATTTCGAAGTCTCTCAACTTACCATATAGCTTGAAATCTGGTGCTTTCGTCAAGTATTCAATAATAGTTAACTTGCGTACCTTATTCTTAAAGTTTAGTCAGTCAGTCCTTTAATTTCTCGGGATGAAACGGTTTTTTTCAGTTCGACAGGGTTTATCATTTATCATTTACAAACTTTTCTCGTGTTCATCCAACACCTCGCGTGGGACATTACGCCGCTAAGCTAATAGAAAATATTAATATTACAATGGGTTTACCATTGCAATAAATGATAGGTTTTTGACCGAACAACACGAGCTGTACCTCGATTACTTCATAAAATTTGTTAAAACCTAAAGATAGAAAACGCCCGACAAACCCGTACCAAACATCTTTTCCGCATCAGTTTACTACTTATTTAATAAGAAACAAGCACCGGGAAGCAGAAGATGTATACATTGATGTCGCTGCTATAAAAGCAGATCGAACGCGGCTTTTGCTTCAAGTCTTGGCTCGTGATACCTTTTCTGTGTGTGGCTCGCTTAGCTTCTACCCACACGTTTCAACATGAACCGTCGGTCTATTTCGTTATCTTGTCAGTAATGGTCCTCATGCCATATCGCCATGACTAGGTTTCTGAATCTGAAATTTAAAATGAAAGGATTTCCTCCTCTTAATGATTTTTTATTCTCCAATAATACGACAATGCGGCCGCTTGTGACAAGCTATAAACACATCTAAAGAACACCTCTAAATGCCGATATTCTAACCCTTTGCTATTCTTATGCTGGACATTACAAAGATATCTTAAGGATATGGGGAGACCTTGTGGATGTTACTTTAGTATTATTCCCATTAACTCTTTAACTCCTCGCTGTGATTTATATTAACTTCTCCCTGTTACATCCATACATTACACTGAAAACAGGTATTGAGAATACTCAAACTCATCAGGTAGAGGTTGTTGTCTTGACGTAACACTAAATGCACGTGACTAATTTTCAAGGAAATGTGTAGCAGCTAGATGGGAGAATTAACAATCAGATCGTGGGAATTGACCATAAAACTTGCTTCTGCGACTTAGTTTTGAGAGTTTTCGAGAAGCAAAACTGAAGGGTTTTTGTGAAATGTAGCTTTGATGTCTTCTTCTAGAAATCTGTTTGATAAACATGGTTTACAACATGGTTTCTTTTCGTTAAAGGTTCGCTCATTGTCTGCCAACCAATCAACAGGGGTGTTAAAGAGAACCTGTCCTACAGCCAATCACAGGCAGATTATGATAAAGCTTATTGCTTAATGTCAATGACAGATACCCGGGAAAACCTGATCATCGCATCAGGAGGTGAGCCTAACACAATCCCTGGGGTCACCATAATGGGGATCAAATCTGAAGAAGGACGTGTCATTTATCAGAATTATCTTCCATTTGCTTTGGTCATTCAAGCTGCTCTTTCTTGCATTCCAACGATTTTATGGAATACTTGGGCTTCCGATATTCTTCGTACCTGTATAAGATTCGTGGCTGACAGCTCTAGTAAGATTTGCCCTGTTCGAGTTGATTCAGGACATTCACCTGTCAAAAAAGACCAAAGTTTTGAAATTCTTAATGAGTATCTAAGCGCTCAAGTTGAACGCTGGGAAGGAAGGAAATTCCTTATAAGAGTTTACACTACAAAGCTTATGTTAAGTCTTGGTATCTTCATCTTTATGGTGACCTTTTATGTAGCATATCCTGTACTGAACTACGTTGAATTCCAAGGGTCTTTTGTTTGTCACGTTCACAAGCAAACCTTGGTCACGTGTGTATTTCCTGATGTAGACCTATTCAAGTTAGCGTGGATTGTGAATATCGTGCTTGTCGACATATCTATTGCTATCGTAGTTCTCCAATTGTTAAACGTTGCTTTCTGTCTGCAACGAAAGACAACGTTTTTCTCCTATTTCATGGGAGTCGAAGAAAGAAAAATATCACGAATACCCAACGATTCGCATTTGATCTCTCATTTTTGTTATGAAAACGCTGCTGTAATGTGTCCAAGTTTGATGAACAGGTCTTCCAGTCCCGGAAAGACAATGCACACCCCGCTTATTTCACTGGGAAGTTCCGAGGAGGAGTTACACTCTCCCAGCTCAAGTTCATCACTTTCATACAGCACGGCACCACAGCTTTTCAGACGACAAACTGCCGACTGAGAAAGGGATTTTCCAGTGACAATAAAAACAAACTTTAATTTGAGAGGTTAATAATAATTAATCACTAGTTTTGCGATAGATGGTTCCTGATTTATCTAATGGAAAGATAACGAACGATGCACATATCCGTTAGGTAACTTGTGATTTATCCGTACAACAGCTTATGATCTACCTTCCGTGTAATGGCTAATGCTTTACCCGCCGGAGTGCTGGTGGTTTACCCGTCGGACACCTAATAAAGAAACCGTCGCATAGATAGT